AGGCCTAGGGCATTTTTTTAAAACATAATCCTAATATTAACTAATTACAATTATTTTAAACAAAACTTTAACTTAAATATGTATATACAACATTCCTAACTACTTAGAAGGACCTGGTAGACAATATTTCTCCATTTGCTTCTATTTTGTGCTTTTCTTTTCCAGTCCCTCACCTTCACGTGTTTAAGGTCTTCCCCCACTTTACTAATCCACCTCGTTCTGGGTCTACCTCTTCTTTTGGTTCCGATTAGTTTTCTGGTTATTACTAGTTTGGACATTCTGTAACGGTAGATTCTTTGTATAAAGTCAAAAATTTATTGTTGGTTCTTCTCTCCCAACCATCTTCTGTCTTCCGTCCTCCGAATATGCGTCTCAATATTTTCCTCACCCATGTTTCCAGAGTATCCTCTTCCTTCTTATTTAATATCCATATCCCACCGGCATATGTTACTGTGGTTCGAATTACTGTTTTATATATTCTGAGTTTACCTTGTCCAGAAACGTATTTTGAGTTCAGTAGGGCTCTTAAACTACCTCATTTTTTATTCCCTTTTGCTATTCTGGCTTCGAGCTCCCATTTCTCTTTTCCACTTTCATCGAAAACTACACCCAAGTATTCAAATTTGTCCACCCTTTTAAAACTATAGCTTTTACCACAAACAGACCTTACACTAAAGTCTTCTTTTTTCCCTTCTGTCCCTCCCATGATCATATAATCTGAATTTCTGTGCTTCTTCGATGATATTTTCTTCACAACTCTTCTTAATTCTTTCACGGTTTTTGCTGGATCGTTAAATCGTCAGCAAATGCCAAGCACTAGTGCTCTTTCATGATTGTTTCTTCCACCTTCATGTTGCATTTTCTGATTACAGTTTCTAACACTAAGTTGAATAATGTAGTGGATAAAGGATCTCCCTGTCTCAAGTCTTTTGCAACCGTAAATTGATCTGATATGTGACCCTCCCAAGCAATTTCACACTTATGAGTTATTTAATGTCATTTTTACTAGCCGGATCAGTTTCTTTGGTATACCTAAATGTTCCATTGCTCGATACATTTTGACTTTATCGACTCTATCATATGCTTGTCTAAAATACACAAACAAAACATGCAGGGGAACTTTACCTTCATAATAAGTCGTTTGTGTCTCCTTTAATGAGAAGATTTGGTCTACAGTAGATCTGTCCTTTCTAAAGGCGGTCTGATACTCATGTAGGATTCTTTCTGTGTAGCAATTTAGTTTATTTCTCAATATTCTTGCCAAGATTTTGTATACCGTGTCTAGTAAGTCTATACCTCTATAGTTGTCACACTTCAGTTTGTCTCCTTTTTTATTTAGAGGGCATATGCGGGCCTCATACCACTCCGATGGCATTATTTCCTTTTCCCATACTTACACTAGTAGTTGATATATTTTTCTTTGTAGTTTTTCTCCACCAAACTTAATCATTTATATGCATATGTCATTTTTACCAGGACTTCTGTTATTTTTCATTTCTTGTATTGCGATCACCACTTCCTCCGCTGTAAGCTGCCTTTCAACTATCGCATCTTCTCCAACCGTCCAACTGCTTCGTTTGGTCCACCTTACCATTTAATAATTCTTCAAAATGTTTTTTCCATTACGTCATTATTTCTGCCGGATCGCTAATTAAATTTCCGTCTTTACCTTTCATATAACTACAGTGGCTTTGGTAAACTTTTCCCATCTTTTTAAGTCCTTGATAGAACGACCTCACCTCTTTGTTTTTAAACTTCTCTTTTAATTTCAACTCATTGTGGTATCTCTTTTTCCTTCTACACAGAGCTTTCAAGCTTCCTCGAATTATTCTATATTCTTGTTTTTTACACTCTCTATTATCTGTTAATATTTGTTGTCTGATCTTCTTCTTTTCCTCTGCTATCGCCTGACTTTCTTCGTCAAACCAATCTTTGTTTGTACTTCTCTTGGAGTCGCACTTAACTATTTTCTCGCTAGCTTCTCCTACGGCAGATATAATTTTTTTTAACTTCATAAGTTTTTCAATATTGTACTTTCTCTTCGTTTTATTGTTTGATTTCTCTTTTTCTTTCAGCCTCCTCCCACATGGGCCACATGTGACTTTAACGAGGTAATGGCCCGAGTCGATTTCAGCTCCTCTCATACTTCTTACCTTCTGAACTATATTCATATATTTACTTTCAATCATAACATGATCTATTTGATTCACAGTCCTTCCATCTGCAGAGACCCACGTACCTTTGTATATCTCTTTTCATTTTAGTTGTGTGCTTCTTACCACCATGTTTTTCTCCATGGCAAATCCAATAAGTCTTTGACCATTATCGTTTGATACTTCGTGTTTACTATAGTTACCAGTTACTGCAGTGTACAGATTTTCTTTTCCCTCTTTAACATTACAATCACCCATTATTATTTTTACAATAATTCCTTGTCATTATTCACTAAAGACAATATAGCGCAAAAACTACATACAAGTATAATTATTCACATTATATGACAGTCTTAGATAAAGTAAACGCATAAAAAATGTCTAAGAAACACAGTATTTTCTCATATATACTTTTTTATTTTCTCATATATACTTTTTTATTAAAGATTTGATTTGATTTTACCGGTATAATGTTTGATTAGTCAGCAATGAATCCATCATAATTTCAGTCGCTCCGTGATAAAATAACCAAAAAAAAACGTTAAGAAGTGTCCTAATGTAATGGAAATTTTTAACATAAATGTCAGTATAAAATATAAATATTTAACAACAAATGTGTTTAATAATCTGTGTTTCCTCCAAACAGCGTTAATTACAGCTTGAAACGCCTTGGCATGCTTAAAATTAAATTATCAATTTTGTTTTAAGGCAATAGGATTCATTCCTGTGTAAGATGATTTTGAAGACCTTGTCTAGTAAGAACATTGTGCAGACGAGGAACAGTCCGTTTCTCTGAAGCATACTCATAGATTCACGATGGAATTAAGATCTGGCGATTGTGCTGGCATTTGATAAGATTAAACATAAAATGCTTGTAGATATATTAAAAGAAAAAATATTGACAGTCGTGATACGAAAATTATATCTATATCTATATTGAAATCAAACTGACAAGGTAAGAGCTGACAACCAGAACACCCAAAATATCAAAATACAGTGAGGAATCCGCTAGGGTTGCGTGCTCTCCCCACTACTCTTCAGTGTCTAAATTGAAGCGGTATTTACAGAAGCGCTCTCAGATTCGATAGAAGGTAGATGTATTAATGGAGAAGTTTTGAATCACTAAGTTTTGCAGACGATAAAGTAATAATAATGGATAAAAACAGTGAGTTATAGAACTTAATGTAACACCTTAATTAACGATATCCTGAATACGGATTGAAGATGAATTTGAAGAAAACCAAATGCATGATCATGACTAAATCAGCGATGTAAACATCCCTTTGATTATTAAGTAATTAATAATCCCTTTGATTATTAATATTAAGTTTGAAGAGTTGTATTGAAATAGCACGTGCACATTCATTATACTCAAAAAGTTTCTTTGTTGTTTGAATATAAGGTTAGAACTTGTTAGAACTAAGGATGCTTGAGTGTTACGTGTTCTCTACTTTTCTTTACTTGCTTGGAATAGTGCACAACAAGTATATCTGAATAGGTTGACTGCCGTTGAATTTTGGTGTTAAAGCAGAATCAAAAGTCAAAAAAACGCAGAATATCGTGGTTTCACAACTTGAGGAAATGATTTGAATGCAGTAGTGCAGAAGTATTTAGAGCGGCAGTCAACAGGGTCTGCAGAGCCATGATGATTTCCAACCTTCGGTAGAAGATGGAACTTGAAGAAGAAGGAGATTGTGCTGGCGACGGTAAAAGTTTAATATTCTCATTATGAAACCAAGCTCTTACTGTTGTTGCAGTATGTGGTCTTGCATCATCCTTTTTGTGCAAATGGAATGACAACAGATTCTAAAATACGATCAGTATATTAATATTGATTCAAAGTGCCTTCCACAAAAACGGGAACCATTCGATGATAACAAATTATTCCAGCCCCCACAACTTGGAAGACCATTATATGAATGAATATCCTGTACATGCCTTAGTCTCTCTTGTCGACCAGGTCCTCTCCAAACTCTTACTCTTTTAAAATCAAGGTAGATATAAAACCTAACTTTATCTGCGAATAACGAGAACTCCATTCTTGTAAGCCCCAATGCACATGTTGCTGTGCCTACTTTAATCTGAGTTCACAATTTCCATGCTGTAACATGGAAACCCTCAATGGACGTTTGACGTGCAGGCCAGCTTCATGTAATCTATTCTTCAATGTTTGGTCACATACAGTAATGTTGCGATCATACCGATCCTGTCGGGGAGTAGTTGCACGTTGAAGACCTCCATGTCTTTCAGTAACATTACCAGAACCATAACAGAACAATTGTTCATATTGATGCCACAATCTCGAAATCAAGAAACACGTCAAAATGCAACATCAGCTTGTGAAAGACCAGCCTCAATTATATTCACAGCACTTACCATTTGAACATGTACTAAATCGACGCTCCATAACTATCGTTACTTTAAATAATCTTGTTTTAGTAAAATATTAAAGTAAATACAGACTATCTTTAAAATTTAAAGCTCTTTTCCCTACAATTTAAAGCAATTAATAGTACGAACTTGAGGCGCTTTATAAAACAGCGAAATCGACAAATTACTTTCATGATATAACTTGATTTGCAGAAACAAGTTTTCAAACCGAATGGTATATATTTACCTATTACCAAAAGTTTTTATTGAAAAAAGTGGAATAATAGTGGGGTTTCTTAGATATTTTTGATGTGTATATTTTATAACCCTATTGTAGGCCTCAAAAATTTAAGTTTATACATAATATAATTACTACATTAAATATTTTATTATATGCTTAGATATTAATAGACCCTCCAAAATATGTTATATTTCTAATCGATATATCAATTTTTTAAAATATATTCCTCTTTTCAGGGATGTCGTAACCAAAGTATCGGATATTGTGAATGCGATGGGAGAGGCTTCTGCGTCAGCTCAAGGACTCACTAAGCCAGTAACTACGGCAGACAGATTACGGAATTCCGAACACAAACTCTATTTTCTCATCGATAACAATGCGAACGGGTAAGTAAATGGAAATTGGAACTTTTATTAATGGTTTTATTTTGGTAAAATTAAACAAAGAACATTATTGATTATTACTCATACAAGAAGTTAGAAACGTTGTTATTATGTGACGACACAGTCAATTTCCGTAGCAGTAAAAAAAGTCGCGCCAATTTGACCCACCATAAATATATTGTATATGTAATGAAATATGTATTTTCTAATTGTAAATTAAGTTTATTTTATTAACTAAATACCTACAGCAAATTAAGTCTGCATAATTAAAGTTTGTAATGTATTTTTATAAAACAGAAAGAGGTTCGTGATCTTCGATGGCACGTAAATTTGGTCTTACATGTGCAATGAGCCTTTGGACTGTTTTTAAGTTGATCTCACGAATTTTTTGCAAAATCCTTCGCCTTAACGGATCGTCACTTTGGACTTCCCACTCCTTATTATACGCCATTCTACTCAAAATAGCCCAAAACTCTTCTATAGGCCTCACTGAGGCATATTTGGAGGGATATCGCGATTGGGAACAAAATTTGTATTTTGAGCAGTTAACCAATCTGTCGTTCTCCTAGCATAATGGCATGGCTCTAGATCATGATTTATTTATACATTGCGTGTATAAAATCCGTCGTTGCCCTTTTTTTCGGATTTGGATAAAGTAGAATACTTTTCATCATCAATAAAGAGAATTTTACCAGGAAAATGAATACGTCTCAATGCACGGCAACATCTAGGAATTTTTTTAACTGGGCTGGTGTTTACTTAGGAGCTGTTTTTCTTTTATATCGTTTTAAATTATTTCTAGAAATTGTTTTACTTACAGTCATTCGTGAAACATTACATCTTCGGCCAACATTTCGCAAAGACTTTCCTAACTGGTTCTCCATACTCTGAATTAATCTCTGTTCGCGAGCAGCACTTGAAACTCTTGGTCTTCCACTTTGGGGTAAGTTAAGGCATATTATACAATTTTCGATTTAATTGTCTGGTAAATCGTTAGAAATATTTTGAGCACTAAAAATTCTTACAATATCGTGTTTTGGCATAATACTATAACAACAAGATATGCTCACTTGCCGTTCGAATTTTAATCGACTTTGCGCATGACGTCATAGCGAGACAAAGCCATAGGACTTGTGTGTATCATATTTTAACGATGCATCATATGGCAACGTTGTTCCATTACTGTAATGAACAACTTCAAAACTTAAACTTCAAACTATATTATTATCTATAGAAACGTTTGCTCTGCTGTTAAAGTGTGTCTAAAACCAAAATACTGACATGTTTTTTAATACATTTCTTTTCTCCATTCTTCTTTTGCGTCTATTTTCAGGCGATGTTTTGGCGCTTGGAGATTTTATTAAATGAACTGAATTTTTTCACTACAAAATTTATATAACAATATAATATACAAACTCTTTACTACATCAATGAATAAATAAAAATATCATTCACTACTTTTTGAAATACACAGGATAGCAAACTCGATTATCACAGCAACATAATTAACATTAACACTTATGAGCATTTAACTTGCTGTCATTAAAGTTGTGTCGGGCTTACGTCACAAGAACATGCGCGTTGACTTATCTTGTTTTGTTATAGCATCATGGCGTTTTGGTACATGTCCAACTAAACCCTTTGAGGAATAGTTGTTGAGAAGTTTGTACAACACCTCAACGAACCGTAGTTGTCAAAACTGACATTGTTTATATCGTTTAAGTTCTTTACTAACTTTGGTTTCCAATGGCAACTTGATCCAGTGCTTCCTACCAATAATATTTTTAAATCTTAAAATGGGTATTTCTTTCTTCCGATGCCCTGTTTTCCTTCTATCTAGCTTTAAGAACTGGTACTTGGAATTTCGAAATATATGACACAGATAAGCAGTTTTTCTTCTTTTTATTATTGGCAGCAATTCTCGTTCTCTGCCCATTCGATTTAATACTTCGACACTTGTTGTGTGATCTTTCCAGGGAATTTTAAGTAGTCTTATAAACACCCACATTTCCAAGGCCTCCAATCGGTTCATCACATTGGCCTTTATGGTCCAGGTTTCTACACCATATAGCAGTATGGAGTTAATGTAGCATTTTACAAAGCGATATCGAAGTAATAAGTTAAGGCTGCTGATGCTTAGCAAGATTCACATATTAGTAAATGTTGTTCTGGCTTGCTCAATCCTGCTACGTATCTCTATGTCTGGATCTAGATCTTCAGTTATCAAACTACCGAAATATCTGAACTTGGGCACCTTTTGGATGTTCTTATTGTTTACTCTTATATTTAATTACATATTTCGTGTTCTACTAACCACCATTACCTTCGCCTTGTCTATATTAATCTTCAAGCCTAGTCGTTCTAGGTTTAGGGACGTACGTTATTATAAAATGTATACTAAAAACAATATTATAGATTGATTATTCTTTTGTTTGTTATATGATGCTAGAATGGAAAAGTTTGTTCTATGAGACTAAGAAGCCGAACATGTAATATTAGAATGCGAAAGTACCTATGACAGAATAAAAAATGATGGACACGGTACAAGACCAATAAGAGGTCGGGAGCAAATGGGATAAGTGTAGAAATCTTAAAAGCAGATGAGAGATGTAGGGAAAGCAATTGGCTAAATTGTCTGTGCTTGGAAAATGTGGCTTTCGTGCTGGAAGGTCAACTATAGATCAGATATTTACCATCCGACAAATATTAGAAAAAAAACTGGGAATTCAACCGCGATGTGCAACAAATTTTCATAGATTTCCAGCAAGCATATGATTCCATAAAAAGAAGCAAATTGTGGATAGCAGTGTTAGAAATGGGAATACCAAGAAAATTAGTTGAATTAACGCAAATGCGCGTGGCACATTCATATGCGCAAGTAAAGATAGGAAGCAGAACATCAATGCCATTTGGTATAAATTCAGGACTTAGGCAGGGGGACCCCTTGTCACCGTTGCTGTTCAATTTTGCCTTAGAATATGCAATAAGTAAAATATCGTCTGAGCTGACAGGATGATTTGCTGATCAAGGATCAAAACTGTTGCTGGCTTTTGCTGATCATATATGCAGTCACGCATGTGTAACGTAAGAGAGGTCTATTCACAGTTCGAGGAGGAAACAGGTAGTCTAGGTATCCGAATAAATAAAGAAAAGACGAAATACATGGTAGTAACAAAAAATCCAATACCAAGAGTTAGACATAAGTATTAGCATCAGTATTAATGATCACAACTTCGAAGTAGTAAAGGAGTTTAAATACCTGAAGCGGTAATCACAGCTGACAACCACATAGAAAAAGAGGTCTCAGCAAGGATAGCTGCGGGAAATAGAGCATTATACCCCTTTTCAACATTATTAAGATCGAAGCTGCTAAAAAGAAAATCTAAATTAACACTGTACAAGTCGATTATTCGCTCAATTATTACATATCGCAGTGAAACATGGACTCTTAACCAGCGGGAAATCAATAAGCTTCTAGTATGTGAAAGAAAAGTTCTCAGAATAATGTTTGCCCTCAAAGAGATAAATTTCCAGGGGATTGGAGAAGACGCCGCAATGCTGAATTTGTGACTCTGTATGGAACTGAAAACATAGTTAGACATATCAAGGCAAACCAAATAAGATGGGTAGGTCACGTGGTACGATCAGAGGATGACAGAGTGTTAAAGACAGTGTTTTTTGAAAGACCAGGTAAGGCCAATTGAAGCCGATTTATCTAGAATTGGGGTACAACAATCGGAAATAGAAGCGCAAGAGCGTAGAGGATGGAGGGCGATAGTGGATGCAGCGAAGACTCACCCCGAGTTGTAAAGCGGGTGAAGACGAAGAAGAAGAACCAGGATAAGAGAATTGCTATTGTTAAACGCCGCAAAATGACTTATCTGGGACATATAGTGAGGGGAAATCGATACAGAATACAGAATACTAAATCAATACAGAATACTACAACGGATCCTTAAAGGAAAAACAGAAGGTCGTAGATGTGTAAGAAGAAAACAGGTGTCTTGCTTAAAAAGCGTTTGTGAATGGACTCAGATATCAATTGCAGGACAATTAAGTTGTTTTAAAGCAATACTTTTAAATCCACTTTTTGTGGAAAATGAGACATTGAGCTTTTACTATTTTCTTAGTGTCTATTCTATAGATACAACACTTTATTTATTGTCAAAACGAATTAGTTCCAATACATTTCAATCAACTAAAAGTTATCTAGGAAGCAAAACAGATAAAGTCCCGCCCGCTTAAAGACCAAAACGATTCCAACGTTAGAAAATTGGTTGACGGTCAAGATGTTTAAGGATGTGCAAGGGCTTTTAGACTAATTCTAGGAATTGGTCTTAGAATTGGTCTCTGGTATTAGAATACAGAATATCCTCCACAAGTATGCAATCTATGGTAATGTTGCTCAAGAAAGAGGAAGTAGTGACCGCAGTTCTAACAACTTCAATGAGAGACAACAAGGTGCTTTAAAATACATCAGCTCTCTAAAGTGTTAAGAATCGCATTATTGTCGAAGCAATACTCGTCGAAGTTACCTTCCATCTGATTTTAATATAGAAAAGTTAGCAAATACGTACAACAATCAAATCGATAAGAACTTGAAAGTAAAAAATTCTTACTTTCTTAATTAAGTTTAATTTGGGCTTTGGTTCACTTCGAGTCGATGTATACTCGATGTGCCTGGAACTTTCAGAAAAAATACAGCTAATAACCGATCCTGGTCAAACTGCATCTTTAAAAGCTACCCAAGCTATTTAAAAACAAGAGCTAAATCTTTTTTTGCAGTACTAAAAGTAAAATAAAAGAAAACTCTTCCGCTATCATTCGATTGCTAGAAAAATTTGCCTACTTCCAAAATTTCAGATCAGGAGACTTACTATCGACGCCAACTTTATCTCTTCAATTTTTCTTTTGTTTTTGATAGTTCTCAGTGCAAAAGGTCTCCAAAAAATTGCTTTAGCTATTTATGGACTGAAGGTACCTATCCAAAAGGTTCAAATGAG